GTGCATACCTTCTTTTTGTCCAGTGATCCTTTATGTTATTTAGATCTATAGAAGAGTGTAAGAGTTATATGATTAACATTTATTAATGTATCTTTTCAGCTTTTTATAAAAAACAATAATTTAATTTAAATAAATAAATAAAACGTTTTATTTATTCAAAAACATCTCAAATCACTAACCAGAATATCAAACAGAATCTAAACTCTCTATTAAGATTGTTCTTTATGGCTCTAGCAATTGTTAAATAATTTATTATTTTCAAAGTAAACATACGATTTACCAAATGCAAAAAAGTGTTTCAAAGCTAACTTCTGAATTACTTCACCTTTTTCCAAATTACTTTGAAAATATATAAAATAGAAGTTGAAAAATTAGAATATATTGTTTATATTGTTGGACAATCGATTTTGGTGGCCACCAATTGAGTTAAAGTCAGATGACGGGTCAGTTTGTATATGTTTAATATGTGGTGTAACTGATACCGATCATTCCATAAAATAGAAAGCCTGCTATGTTGATGGACACTCGTTTTATCACTTTGTGACAAAATCAATTGTTGATCTTTTTTATGTTGTGAAACATGTGATTTCAATTGTTTTAAAATATAAAAAGGAATATTTGTATACAAAAAAATTATTATTAAGGTACACATTAATTTTTTTGTGCAGAAACATTCTTTATGTTTGTCTTTACTAGCAGGTTAAATAATATCAAAAGATCATCTCCAGATCAAAAGTTAGATGAGAACTAAATTTCAAAATAAAGACTACATATATGCAAACATTTTATTTGAATTAAATAATTTTAATCTTATTCAGAGACATATTTTCAGTAAGTGTAATGAAATATTTTGCCTTCAAGTATTCCAAATCAAAGTAAGTAGTCAAACAATTTTATTAACTTGGTGATATTATTTTATTATTCAAGATGAAGCAGTAAGAGAACAAATTAATTATGTTCTTAATGAAAATGAAATTATAGGAAAAGGTCCCAAATAGTACTCTTAGCATGATTTTTGATGGAATTAAAAAATTGAATAAAGGTGAAAAGCATTTAAAGATTACTTGTGATAATGCTGAGGGACAGAATAAAAATAACACCACTATTTGGTTTACTTGTATTTAGTAATTTGTGGTTATTATGAAAGTATTGAATTGAATTTCATGATTCCTGGACATACTAAATTCAAATGTGATGGTAGTTTTGGTTTAATAAAAAAACTCCATAGGAAAACAAGAGTAGATTGTGTAGATCATGTAGTTGAGGTGGTGAAAAGATCTAGTCCAGCTGGATTGAATAAAGCTCAATGTTATGAAGGTGAAAAAGGCTTTCAATACTTAGATATTAAAGCTATTTTGGGAATTTATTTTAAGAAATTACCAAGCATATAGAAATATCAACATTTTCTTTTTGAAGCATCTAATCTTGGTACAGCAAAAGTTCAAGAAGTTGCTAATGGACCTTTTACTGAGTTCAATTTATTGAAAACCAAGAGAGCAGATATTTTTGAAGAAATTAAAGCTTTATCTATTTTAGTGTTAACACCACCTCCTTTGAATCATAAAAGGCAAGAATATCTTTACCAGAATATTCGTCCATTTGTTAGAGATGAATTTAAAGATATTACTTGTCCAAGACCAATCTTTACTGGCAATGAATAAAATAAAATCACCTCTATGACTTCATCACTCATTAATTTGTTCCTTACTGTCATTAAATTTAATAAATTTAATCTTTCAATGAATATTCCACTTTTTAAAGTAAAAAAGTACTAAAATAATTTATATACTTATATATATCATCAGGAAACTTTTCCCGCCGTAAATTTGCATAATATTATGGGACCCACCATAAACTTATGTAAATAGTGTAATATTATGCAAAAATTGCACAAAAATTACGCAATTATTACATTCAGTGTAAATATTATGTCCTTTTTATGCAAAATATTACAACATTTCATATTAAAACTTACAGATGTAATATTATGGCGGGAAAAGTTTCCTGATGGAGCTTTTCGTTGTATATATGAAAGATCAAAGTAACACTGATGCTCTTTAATAAGTTTATCACAAATAAGTGAAGGACCAATATTATCAGGATTATGAACAGATGCATTATTAAACATAATTGGAACAGGCATGGATCCTTCAATTTTTTTACTTATACTTGTTGCTAAATGGACTGCTTCTGATAGAGTAGTATGATTTGGATGTCTTTTTTCATGAGTGTTATGATAATCATCCAGGTTGTATATACAAAGATTATTTTTATTTTCATTAAAGTATTTTTTTACTCTTAATGGATGTTCTTCTGCAATTTTCTTTTTATAATTATATACAGTTTTATAAGTAATTGAAACTCCAGCATTACCCAGTGCATCAATTCCATCACAAGATGTTCCTGATCCTATAAGATATAAGGCAAGTTCTAATTTAAAATTATTAGCATGTTTATTCTGGATTCCAGCCATCAAATGCAAAATTGTAACAACTTTCTTTTTATCTTCCTTTTTATTATATTCTGAACAGTCTTCTGGTATTAATATATTACATACTTCATTGAAAAATCCTTTTAAATTTGAATCATTATCTTTAAGCATTTTATTAAACTCATCAGGATCAAATATAGGACTATCATGCCTCTT